CCCCAAAACCCCAAAACCCCAAAACCCCAAAACCCCAAAACCCCGAGGAGACATAAGAGAAATGAAAGTAAATTAATTAAATCAACACATTATGAAATCTAGAGGTGAAGAAGTCCAACAACACAACATTGATGAAGAAGAGTCTGTTCATAAGGAGGTTATTGATCATGAGCAAAGAGTTACTGGTCAAGATTTAGAAGGAGAAACAAAGAAGGGAGCCAAAACTGCTAAAATTTTATCACAAAATATGTTCCTTCGACCTGTAGTCAGAACAAATGAAAGTGATTACAAATATGAGAGACTTCAGGATCTTCTTCATGTTATCCAAAACTTTGACATTCTGTGCTTTCAAGAAGTCTTTAGTGGCTTCAACAGCCACAAGCCACAGCTTCTTACTGTGGGCAAATAAAGCTGGTTTCAATTACTATTGTCACAGCAGCAAGCCAGGCTATTTTGAAAAATACTTGACTGATGGAGGACTTGTTAATCTTAGTAGATACCCCATTGTAGAAAGCGACGAAGAAGTGTACAAGAAAGCTATCGGAGATTGCTCGATTGCAAAGAAAGGCGTCTTGTTTTCTAAGATCGACATGAACGGGAACTATCTGTACTTGTTCAACACACACTTGCAAGCGAACTACCACTCGTCATATGACCTGTACAGAAAATGAATCAATACCAAAATGTATCAGCTCAAGCAGCTGGCCGAGTAAGACTCATAGTTTGACACTCTAGGTACATTGATAGCAAAACCAGAGATATGAAGCCAGACGACAAAGTCATGCTAGTTGGAGACTTCAATATTTCAAGCCGAAAGTTCAACTCACATATTATTAATCAGTTCAAAGGCTACGCAGAGCAAGATCCTGGCTACAACACCTTCTTAGAAGAAGGCTTTGATTGTTTAATGGAAGCAGAAATCATGAAGAAAATATTGTCTGCAGATGGACTGTTCAATGTAAAAGACTTGAAGGATAAGCTGAAGGATGAGGAGGGAGCTCCTGCAACGTTTGCTGGGACAGTTGAGCTTGAGGATGGGAGTAAAGTTCCAGTAGATACTGCTCTTATGAGTCAAATGGATCTAATGACAGAACAATCCTTAGACTATATTTTCATCCTTGAACGAAATGATATTAAGAAGAGAAATCAGGAAGATTTTAAAGATGTAGAGCACCCTCTATCTAAGACAATTAGTAACTAGTCTCTCAATAACGATTTAGAGAAACAATGGTTTATTTCCAAACAGACTCCCTTCTCCATTAAAGAGGACACAATCTGAGTTGAAAAATTTATAATGGAAGGCAAGATGTACGGCTCGCTCAGTGATCACTTCGGATTATCAGTCAACATAACAAACATATAAACATGGGGACTCCCTAGTTTTAAAGACTAAATATTTTAAAAGTTTCACACTATGCCGACTTGTGACTCTCAGCTTCCAAATTTTCAACCATTATTAATTTTTATGGGGTTTTGGGGTTTTGGGGTTTTGGGGTTTTGGGGTTTTGGGGTTTTGGGG